GGGGGTCGCGCCCCTCGGTCAGGAACGAAGGCACCGGCCGAGCACACACGTAAGCCTCCTGCGGGGTGTCCTGTCAGCCTTCAGGCAAAAGTGTAAGGGGGGTGAGGGAGCCCCGAACCCCAGATCCTGCTGCACTCCCCCGCCCCGCGCCGTGCGCGCAGCCCGGGGTCCTGGGCTCTTTGCCTTCTCCCCGGAAGGGTCAGCGTCTACCGGATCGCAGCATGGCGATGAGCCTTTTCCAGAGCTGGTGCCGGGCGCTGAAGGTGGACGAGCGCCGGGCCCTGCTGGTCACCGGCCTCCCCGAGGGCCTGGGGCGCGCGGAGATCGAAGCCACCCTGCGGCCCGCCTTCCTCCCGCTGGGCGAGTTCCAGCTGCGCACCGTCAGCCTGGGCAGCCGGGAGGACGCCAGGGCCGCCCTGGTGGAGTTCCCGGAAGACCTCGACGTGGACGCCATCCCCAGGGAGGTCCCGGGCCCGGCCGGCGCGTGGCAGGTCCTGTGGAAGGACAGATCGCAGGACAACGCGCGGGTCCTGAAACAGATGAAGCGTCTGCTGCTGGACGAGAGGCCCGCCCAGGCTCCCGGGGCCCCGGAGCCCCAGGCGTCGGAGGCGGGGCCGGCCGGCGCCGCCGAGCCGCAAGACGAGACAGCCAAGAAAGCGCCCCGGGGCCGTCGGGGCGCCAGGCACCGGGCCCGAGGCCACAGGTTGACGGGCAAGTGCAAAAAGCGAAGCCGGGGCGGCCGGCCGGCCCGGAGCGAGGCCGACGACTCGTCGGATGACAGCCTGGGCCTAGTGATCGAGGAGCTGCAGGCCGAAGACCTGACGGTCGACGAGGACCAGCGGGCGCTGTACCAGACCCTCCAAGCCGCCGCCAAGGAGCTCCTGAAGAAGTGGACCTTCCAGGAGGACGCGGACGCGGGCGATGGCCCCCGCGAGTTCCTCGCCCTGGTCACCGTGACAGACAAAGCCAAGAAAGAGGAGTTAGAGAAAGAGCTCCCCGGGACCCAGTCCATATGCTTGGACATCCAAGAAGACAGGAACGGGGTCCCCGATCTGGTGGCCCTGATGGCCGTGCGGGAGCCCCTGGACAGCGACGATTCGGGCAGCGAGTCGCAAGGTGATGGGGACCCAGAAAAGGAAGGGCTGGACAACCCGGAGTTTGTGGCCATCGTGGCTTACACGGAGCCCACTGACCCCTGGGCGCGCGAGGAGATGCTGAAAATCGCCTCCGTGATCCAGTCGCTGGGCTGGGGTGACAAGCGCCAGGAGGGCGAGGCGCTGCCCCAAGTCCTGTCGGTCATGTCCAGCGACACCTCGGGGACGCGCGTGAAAGTGGAGGAGGCCGGCCGCCAGGTGGACGCCATGGTGCTGAGGAAGGCCGAGGAGGATGGGAACCTTCTAGAATGCATCTCTACCCTGGCTGAACCCGAGAATCGTCCAAAGGGCAAGAAGGGTGCGCTGGGCGTCCCCGGGAGCTGGAGCAAGGAGGGAGAAATCCAGGGGGGCCTCCTGGAGTTGGTGGCGCTTCTGGCAGCGCAGGACATGGTCCACATTGTAAAAGAGGAGGAGGAGAACCGCTGCGGAGGGGCGGCCAAGTGTCACCACAAGAACGATCTAGAAGAGGTCTTGACTTTCCTGGCTTCCCGAGAGCCTCCGGAGTCCAGCGAGGACTCGGAGGAGTCCGGGGACACGGAGTCCGAGTCCTCGGAGGACACCGACAGCCCCGAGTCGGAGCCCGAGGACCGCGCGTCCCAGAAGCCCCGCGCCAAGCGCGCGCGCACGGGCTCCAAGGGCCAGGCGCGGGG